TGGAGATGTGAAGGCAGGGAGTGGAGATGTGAAGGCAGGGAGTGGAGATGTGAAGGCAGGGAGTGGAGATGTGAAGGCAGGGAGTGGAGATGTGAAGGCAGGGAGTGGAAATGTGAAGGCAGGGAGTGGAGATGTGACGGCAGGGAGTGGAGATGTGAAGGCAGGGAGTGGAGATGTGAAGGCAGGGAGTGGAGATGTGAAGGGCCCCTCAGGTAGATTGCCTCGTCAGCGAATGATGATTGGCCGTTGATGGGATCCACTGAGAGGCCGACAGCTGGCGCCATGGTGTCAAACACGTGCTTCACCTGCTGGAGTAGGCAGAATGGCACGGTCGTGGGCAAGGAGGGCGAGAGAGGGAGAGGGGGAGGGCGGGATTGTGTGTTGGGCAAAAAGACAAGTTAGTCTGTGGGGCAATGGTGGGAGAGGAAGGTTGATGGTTAAACATCGGCTGGGAAAGTGAGCTGAGGTAGGTGTGAGTTGGTCTCGAGTGGGCAACACCACCACCGCTCTGACTCACCGCGCCTCACACCCTGCCAGTGCCTGCACCACTTGCAGCGCATACGCCAGTGTCTTGACAGGTGTGTTGGCAGGGAGATGAAAGGGACGAGAGGGGGGATGGGATGGAAGGGCCTGGAAAAGCGAAGGCGAAGAGGGTAAATGGTGAGGAACATAAAGGTGTTGGGAAGGAAGAGACATGAGATGGCGTGTAAGGCAGGAGAGATCGGAAGGAAGGGTGGGGAGGATTGACCTCAAGTCAGGCGGGAACGATGTGCTAGCAGGGGGGAAAGGAGGGATGCAGTGGGGGAAAGGAGGAGAAGCAAGGGGGGGAAAGGAGGGGAAGCAAGGGGGGGAAAAGGAGGGAATGCAGGGGGGGAACGGAGGGGAAGCAAAGGGGGAAAGGAGGAGAAGCAAGGGGGGGAAAGGAGGGGAAGCAAGGGGGGGAAAGGAGGGAATGCAGGGGCGGAAAGGAGGGGAATCAGGGGGGGGGGGGGGGGAGGAGGGGAAGCAAGGGGGGGAAAAGGAGGGGAAGCAAGGGGGGGAAAAGGAGGGAATGCAGGGGCGGAAAGGAGGGGAAGCAAAGGGGGGAAAGGAGGGAACGCAGGGGGGGAAAGGAGGGGAAGCAAGGGGGGGAAAGGAGGGGAAGCAGGGGCGGAAAGGAGGGGAATCGGGGGGGGGGGGGAAGGAGGGGAAGTAAGGGGGGAAAGGAGGAGAAGCAAGGGGGGGAAAGGAGGGAATGCAGGGGCGGAAAGGAGGGGACAGAGGGGCGCTAAGCGAGTGACGCGCTAAGCGGGTGACGCGCTAAGCAGATGAGGCGAGCAGCGGGTGAGGCGCTAAGCGGGTGAGGCGCTAAGCGGGTGAGGCGCTAAGCGGGTGAGGCGCTAAGCGGGTGAGGCGCTAAGCTCGTCGGCCTGAACGCGTTGAGCCCGCCGAGGGCAACGCGGCGGGGCAGGAAGGTGGGCAGACAGTTGCCTTACCAAATTTAGCGATTTTGAATGCAACGATTGCATTGCAGCGATCCCGCCGAATGCGACTAGCCGTGGCGCCTAAGAAATAGGTTACGACGGGCGCGCCGCATACATTGCGGGCTCGGCGAATGCTACGCGGCGGCAGTCCGAATGCAAAGCGGCGGGGCAAACCGAAAGGGAGATGCGGGGCTCGATTGATGGTCGTTTTCGAGGCGTAGCCTAATCTGTACATGTGTAGATACTCCCAGCCATCCATGTGAGATGTCGCGCTATTGGTATAGCACCCTAAAGCCCAGCATGGCTAGTTATATCGCGGAAATTACTAGTAGTCGCTGATTCAATCGCCAAGTGTGTGAGAGTAGCAACGTAGCTTGGTGACGGGAGATTTTCCCATTTTGTTGTGACCCCCCAACCCAACCCTGGTTCCCCGCTTCAGATTTTCGCCAACCCTCTCGCCAATATTTTGTTTTCGTTTTGGCGAAAACGCCTTGCGTACTGTAGATCCTCAAACAGTACTGTCAAATGTATACTGCTGCTTTAAAACCTGACAAAACAAAATGGAGTTCAACATCTTATCAAAGAACTTCGAACCAATATATTGAGCGTACTTCACCTCTATGACGATCATGGTAAAATGAAGATGAGCTTTAAAGTGAAAATAATATCACCTTTAATGTGAAGCTGGTGCAGAGTGGTGAATTCCATTACTGATTTGGACACTTTGAGTGACAAGCTGCTGAATCCTGCATGTACCGTATTAATGTGTTAGAAAAATGCTGGTATGGTTGCTGCTACCAGTTTCAACTCTGTGTACCACTGACTGGAGTAAAAAATGTCATGACTCCAAGAGTATCTAGCATGTAGCATGAGGCAGTGTTTAGCACACTGGTAGAAAGCTTCATTCTTAGTCAATGAAGTGTATGATGTGCGGGTTGCATCCAGAACCCAATCAATAAAAGCCCCTGAAAAGAAAAACCGAAGTGTTGTTAGTCTCTGATCTGATGCTTTAGATCAGTCAAGACAAAAACGATCACTCTCATCTCATCAACGTACCTGGTGCTGACAGCAGACAAATACGGTACGGGAACTTACTGTTTGTGATGAGAGCCTGGCCGGCTGAAGGTGATCCGGATGGCTTGATATTGCTTGATATTATTGCTTAAAATGGTGGACTCCAGATTGGTTGATATGGCTTCTTATTTCCCCTGAAGCGGGTATCCAGGGTCAACAAATGTGTCCTCATCTGAAGTGTCAATGAAAGGCGACCTCATGATGAACGCGACTCGTACTAAGCTTAAGCATTCCCATTATTACAGCCATATACGGTCTCTGCACGAAAAATAAGCGTCAAGAGGAGAGTCGGCATCCTAGGTGTAAAAGAAATGCCATTCTTACCGTTTGAACGGGTGACTGGAAACCAAGCTTAAACCTGTGCATCCTCATATCCACCTGCGTTAACATGAAGCAATGAAAGAACTGACAGACGGGAAGACGAAATGGGAACACAAGCACCAGCACCAGTATAACACGCACCAGTATAGCCGATTCAATCCTTTAGCAGTGAAGAAGCTTCTCTAGCAGTGAGGAAGCTGCCTTGTGAGGTCTTCCACCCAGCTTAACACGCTTCCATGTAACATTCACAAGGACGTGCATTTTTTGCGGGTGAGACATCAGAGTAGAATGAACGAATGGTCGGCGAACTGACAGCCAGGCGTACACTTGGCAAAGTTGACGTTCTTCGAGAAAATAACTACGTTCTCGCTCTTGTAAGTTCCTCGATCTGAAATGCCATGATGTTTCGTATGAATGAGAGTGCTAAGATTGACGGTCTAGCAGAAATCACGCTGCGTGTGGTGCGTGAAAGTCATCTCGAGACCAGGTGGAAGTCGAAGATTCACCGCAGCAAGAATTCGAGAAAACGAACTTCCCAGCCCTGCCTGTCATGCAGGAGAAACCAACCGCGGACTGTTCTGGGATCAGTCCACTCGAGATTAGGCAACACTTTGATAAGGGAACACTTTGTTGTCCGCATTACGTTCTTACTCTCTCAAGTTTTGAAAATATACAACAACTTTAAAGTTGAAAGTTAGCATACTAATCTATTCATCATTGATAGCAACTCATATACCACATCAAAATGTTTGGAGACGTCTCTCGGTAAGCAAATTGCAATGAGACCATGCTTTCACCTACCGTATCTACGGTCTGCTCCTTTTACCGGTAACTCGAATTCCAGAAGATCGATATTTGTTGAAGGGCGATTGGGGGATATTTGTTGTGCCTCTGCTCTGAGCTAGAAGGGAGGAAAAGATTGTGATGGGCGACATGTTTTTACCACGTGAGTTGCAAGTTCTTGCCCTTTGTACAAACAATGTACAGTGAAACCAGCCAGCCACGAGAGATTGTGCATGATGTAACCATGCGATATATCGATGACGACACAAGTGAGATGGAGCGAGCGGTTTTGATTTCCAAGAGATGCCCAACCCAAAGCAGTTCACGTTACAACGCTTGTCCTGGTCCAGTGTTCCTTTCAAAGAGCTTTTCATTACGCTGCATAGTTTTGTTGATGGACATTGGCTTGCCTAGCTCTCCCCAATAGTTTCACATGGGGGTGTCATACTAGTAACAACTCCATCTCTCTATGAGTTAACTAACTAGCTGACGTAAAGAACTAATTGAGCCAACCATAGATTTTCCATGTACGGTAATCCATTTCATTGCCTCCACACCACACACTTAAGCTACGGTATCACCGAGCCAGCTATTGCCAAGCCGAGTCGCATCGCCTGACTGCCACCCTAAACCAGAAACCGCCACCCTTTAAATGCGCACTGCCCCCATGACACAGCAACGCCAAGATGCCATCTCCCGCACACGTGGGCACTTCTAGTGACCCACATAGTCGCGAAACCATCCACCGTCAGCAGAAGCACCCACGTGCTGCTCCATGTGCTCATACCATGGCCCTATGCTATGAATTCTCTAACCCCATCTTGCCCCTGGGCATCTGACAGCGCTACTTGCCCGCAGCAGTACCAGTCACAGCAGCACCGTCAGCAGCGGTGATCCTGGCAGACGCACCCACATGCTGCTCCATGCGCTCGTATCCCAACTTGCCCCCAGGCTCCTCCCAGCCCTACTTGCCTGCAGCAGCACCATCAGCAGCGGAGATCCTAGCAGAAGCACCCACGGGCTGCTCCATGCGCTCGTACCACGGCCCTATGCTCGAACACTCTAAGCCATAGCCCTACTTGCCTGCAGCAGCACCATCAGCCACACCAACAGCAGCGGTGATCCTGGCAGAAGCGCCCACGTGCTGATCTGTGCGCTCATACCATGGCCCTATGCTCGAATTCTCCAACCTGTCGTGCCCCCCAGCACCCCAGCACCCTACTTGCCCGCAGCAGCATCACCAGCGGCACCATCAGCAGGGCTGATCCTGGCAGAGGCGCCCACGTGCTGCTCCATGCGCTCGTACCATGGCCCTATGCTCGAATTAGGTAACCCATCTTGCCTGGGAACCTCCCAGCCCTACTTGCCCAAAGAAGCAGCATCACCAGCGACCGCTTCAGCAGCGGTGATTCTGGCAGAAGCCCCCACGTGCTGCTCCATGCGCTCGTACCATGGCCCTATGCTCGAATTCGCCACCATGTCCCTGCCAGCTGTCAGGTGCCTGATTGGCCGCAGCACTCCAAACACCGCCAGGTCAGCGAGGTTCGGGGTCTCTCCTCCTGTAGGCATGGAACCAGGGCACAGCAAAGAGAGAGGGCACATCATCAACATAGCTTGACAATCAGCACAGGCACGGTTGCAGCAGAGGAGCACACACACACAGTCACACTCCATGACACCTCACCTGACCTGCCATGCCGTGCTTCTTCTTCAGCTTCTTGCAAATCACCCCACTCGCACCACTCAACCCACTGCAACCTACCAAGGAACTTCCTGTCGCCGAGAGCCACCACCCACGAATCGGCCGCCTTGTAAAGGTCCGTGCGCTATGAGACGACACAGAACACGCCTGCTCACTTCATGCAACCCACTCAACCCACTGAGAACTTACCAAGAAACTTCCTGTCGCCGAGAGCCGCCACCCACTCGTCAGCCGCCTTGTAGAGGTCGGTGCGCTCGTCCGCTATGCCGTGCTTCTTCTTCAGCTTCTTCCCAATCACATACATGGCGCCCGCACCAAAGTAGCGCGCCATCATGCGCTCCCACGCCGAGAAGTTGCCTGCACGGGGGACGAGGGTGGGGAGAAGGAGAAGGGATTGATGAGTTGACACTCGTAGATAGTGCGCTCATACACTGCACAGCACGCTCATACGCTGCACTGCCCGCTCATACGCTGCACCGCACGCTCATACGCTGCACCGCCCGCTCATACGCTGAACCACCCGCTCATACGCTGCACCGCCAGCTCATACGCTGAACCGCCCGCTCATACGCTGCACCCCACGCTCATACGCTGAACCGCCCGCTCATACGCTGCACCTCACGATCATACGCTGCACCGCACGCTAACAAGCTGCACCGCACGCTCATACGCTGCACCGCACGCTCATACGCTGCACCGCACGCTCATACGCTGCGCCCCACGCTCATACGTTGCACCGCACGCTCATACGCTGCGCCCCACGCTCATACGCTGCACCGCCCGCTCATACGCTGCACCGCACGCTCATACGCTGCACCGCACGCTCATACGCTGCACTGCCCGCTCATACGCTGCACCGCACGCTCATACGCTGCACCGCCCGCTCATACGCTGCACCACCCGCTCATACGCTGCACCGCCAGCTCATACGCTGAACCGCCCGCTCATACGCTGCACCCCACGCTCATACGCTGAACCGCCCGCTCATACGCTGCACCTCACGATCATACGCTGCACCGCACGCTAACAAGCTGCACCGCACGCTCATACGCTGCACCGCACGCTCATACGTTGCACCGCACGCTCATACGCTGCGCCCCACGCTCATACGTTGCACCGCACGCTCATATGCTGCGCCCCACGCTCATACGCTGCACCGCCCGCTCATACGCTGCACCGCACGCTCATACGCTGCACCGCCCGCTCATACGCTGCACCGCACGCTCATACGTTGCACCGCCCGCTCATACACTGCACCGCACGCTCATACGCTACACCGCCCGCTCATACGCTGCAACGCACGCTCATACGCTGCACCGCACGCTCATACGCTGCACCGCCCGCTCATACGCTGCACCGCACGCTCATACGCTGCACCGCCCGCTCATACACTGCACCGCACGCTCATACGCTGCACCGCCCGCTCATACGCTGCAACGCACGCTCATACGCTGCACCGCACGCTCATACGCTGCACCGCACGCTCATACGCTGCACCGCACGCTCATACGCTGCACCGCCCGCTCATACGCTGCACCGCACGCTCATTCGTTGCACCGCCCACTCATACACTGCACCGCACGCTCATACACTGCACCGCCCGCTCATACGCTGCAACGCACGCTCATACGCTGCACCGCACGCTCATACGCTGCACCGCACGCTCATACGCTGCACCCCACGCTCATACGCTGCACCGCCCGCTCATACGCTGCACCGCACGCTCATACGCTGCACCGCCCGCTCATACGCTGCACCGCACGCTCATACGCTGCACCGCACGCTCATACGCTGCACCGCCCGCTCATACGCTGCACCGCACGCTCATACGCTGCACCGCACGCTCATACGCTGCACCGCACGCTCATACGCTGCGCCGCACGCTCATACGCTGCACCGCCGGCTCATACGCTGCACCGCACGCTCATACGCTGCACCGCCCGCTCATACGCTGCACAGCACGCTCATACGCTGCACCGCACGCTCATACGCTGCACCGCCCGCTCATACGCTGCACCGCACGCTAATAAGCTGCACCGCCCGCTCATACGCTGCACCGCACGCTCATACGTTGCACCGCACGCTCATACGCTGCACCGCCCGCTCATACGCTGCACCGCCCGCTCATACGCTGCACCGCACGCTCATACGCTGCACTGCACGCTCATACGACTGCCCGCTCATACGCTGCACCGCCCGCTCATACGCTGCGCCGCCCGCTCATACGCTGCGCCGCACGCTCATACGCTGCACCGCCCGCTCATACGCTGCACCGCCCGCTCATACGCTGCACCGCAGGCTCATACGCTGCACCGCACGCTCATACGCTGCACCGCCCGCTCATACGCTGCACCGCCCGCTCATACGCTGCACCGCCCGCTCATACGCTGCACCGCAGGCTCATACGCTGCACCGCCCGCTCATACGCTGCACCTCCCGCTCATACGCTGCACCGCCCGCTCATACGCTGCACCGCCCGCTCATACGCTGCACCGCCCGCTCATACGCTGCACCACCCGCTCATACGCTGCACCGCACGCACGCTCATACACTGCACCGCCCGCTCATACGCTGTACCGCACGCTCATACGCTGCACCGCCCGCTCATACGCTGCACCACCCGCTCATACGCTGCACCGCCCGCTCATACGCTGCACCGCCCGCTCATACGCTGCACCGCCCGCTCATACGCTGCACCGCACGCTCATACGCTGCACCGCCCGCTCATACGCTGCACCGCACGCTCATACGCTGCACCGCACGCTCATACGCTGCACCTCCCGCTCATACGCTGCACCGCCCGCTCATACGCTGCACCGCCCGCTCATACGCTGCACCGCCCGCTCATACGCTGCACCTCCCGCTCATACGCTGCACCGCCCGCTCATACGCTGCACCGCCCGCTCATACGCTGCACCGCCCGCTCATCCGCTGCACCGCCCGCTCATACGCTGCACCGCCCGCTCATACGCTGCACCGCACGCTCATATGCTGCACCGCACGCTCATACGCTGCACCGCAAGCTCATACTCTGCACCGCCCGCTCATACGCTGCACCGCACGCTCATACGATGCACCGCCCGCTCATACTCTGCACCGCCCGCTCATACGCTGCACCGCACGCTCATACGCTGCGCCGCACGCTCATACGCTGCGCCGCACGCTCATACGCTGCACCGCACGCTCATACGCTGCACCGCACGCTCATACGCTGCACCGCCCGCTCATACCCTGCACCGCCCGCTCATACGCTGCAACGCACGCTCATACGCTGCACCGCACGCTCATACGCTGCACCGCACGCTCATACGCTGCACCGCACGCTCATACGCTGCACCGCCCGCTCATACGCTGCACCGCACGCTCATACGCTGCACCGCCCGCTCATACGCTGCACCGCACGCTCATACGCTGCACCGCACGCTCATACGCTGCACCGCCCGCTCATACGCTGCACCGCACGCTCATACGCTGCACCGCACGCTCATACGCTGCACCGCACGCTCATACGCTGCGCCGCACGCTCATACGCTGCGCCGCACGCTCATACGCTGCACCGCCCGCTCATACGCTGCACCGCCCGCTCATACGCTGCACCGCAGGCTCATACGCTGCACCGCACGCTCATACGCTGCACCGCCCGCTCATACGCTGCACCGCCCGCTCATACGCTGCACCGCCCGCTCATACGCTGCACCGCCCGCTCATACGCTGCACCGCCCGCTCATACGCTGCACCTCCCGCTCATACGCTGCACCGCCCGCTCATACGCTGCACCGCCCGCTCATACGCTGCACCGCCCGCTCATACGCTGCACCACCCGCTCATACGCTGCACCGCACGCACGCTCATACACTGCACCGCCCGCTCATACGCTGTACCGCACGCTCATACGCTGCACCGCCCGCTCATACGCTGCACCACCCGCTCATACGCTGCACCGCCCGCTCATACGCTGCACCGCCCGCTCATACGCTGCACCGCCCGCTCATACGCTGCACCGCACGCTCATACGCTGCACCGCCCGCTCATACGCTGCACCGCACGCTCATACGCTGCACCGCACGCTCATACGCTGCACCTCCCGCTCATACGCTGCACCGCCCGCTCATACGCTGCACCGCCCGCTCATACGCTGCACCGCCCGCTCATACGCTGCACCTCCCGCTCATACGCTGCACCGCCCGCTCATACGCTGCACCGCCCGCTCATACGCTGCACCGCCCGCTCATCCGCTGCACCGCCCGCTCATACGCTGCACCGCCCGCTCATACGCTGCACCGCACGCTCATACGCTGCACCGCACGCTCATACGCTGCACCTCCCGCTCATACGCTGCACCGCCCGCTCATACGCTGCACCGCCCGCTCATACGCTGCACCTCCCGCTCATACGCTGCACCGCCCGCTCATACGCTGCACCGCCCGCTCATACGCTGCACCGCCCGCTCATCCGCTGCACCGCCCGCTCATACGCTGCACCGCCCGCTCATACGCTGCACCGCACGCTCATATGCTGCACCGCACGCTCATACGCTGCACCGCAAGCTCATACTCTGCACCGCCCGCTCATACGCTGCACCGCACGCTCATACGATGCACCGCCCGCTCATACTCTGCACCGCACGCTCATACGCTGCACCGCACGCTCATACGCTGCACCTCCCGCTCATACGCTGCACCGCCCGCTCATACGCTGCACCGCCCGCTCATACGCTGCACCGCCCGCTCATACGCTGCACCTCCCGCTCATACGCTGCACCGCCCGCTCATACGCTGCACCGCCCGCTCATACGCTGCACCGCCCGCTCATCCGCTGCACCGCCCGCTCATACGCTGCACCGCCCGCTCATACGCTGCACCGCACGCTCATATGCTGCACCGCACGCTCATACGCTGCACCGCAAGCTCATACTCTGCACCGCCCGCTCATACGCTGCACCGCACGATCATACGATGCACCGCCCGCTCATACTCTGCACCGCCCGCTCATACGCTGCACCGCACGCTCATACGCTGCGCCGCACGCTCATACGCTGCGCCGCACGCTCATACACTGCAACGCACGCTCATACGCTGCACCGCACGCTCATACGCTGCACCGCCCGCTCATACGCTGCACCGCACGCTCATACGCTGCACCGCCCGCTCATACACTGCACCGCACGCTCATACGCTGCACCGCCCGCTCATACGCTGCAACGCACGCTCATACGCTGCACCGCACGCTCATACGCTGCACCGCACGCTCATACGCTGCACCGCACGCTCATACGCTGCACCGCCCGCTCATACGCTGCACCGCACGCTCATTCGTTGCACCGCCCGCTCATACACTGCACCGCACGCTCATACACTGCACCGCCCGCTCATACGCTGCAACGCACGCTCATACGCTGCACCGCACGCTCATACGCTGCACCGCACGCTCATACGCTGCACCGCACGCTCATACGCTGCACCGCCCGCTCATACGCTGCACCGCACGCTCATACGCTGCACCGCCCGCTCATACGCTGCACCGCACGCTCATACGCTGCACCGCACGCTCATACGCTGCACCGCCCGCTCATACGCTGCACCGCACGCTCATACGCTGCACCGCACGCTCATACGCTGCACCGCACGCTCATACGCTGCGCCGCACGCTCATACGCTGCACCGCCCGCTCATACGCTGCACCGCACGCTCATACGCTGCACCGCCCGCTCATACGCTGCACAGCACGCTCATACGCTGCACCGCACGCTCATACGCTGCACCGCCCGCTCATACGCTGCACCGCACGCTAATAAGCTGCACCGCCCGCTCATACGCTGCACCGCACGCTCATACGTTGCACCGCACGCTCATACGCTGCACCGCCCGCTCATACGCTGCACCGCCCGCTCATACGCTGCACCGCACGCTCATACGCTGCACTGCACGCTCATACGACTGCCCGCTCATACGCTGCACCGCCCGCTCATACGCTGCGCCGCCCGCTCATACGCTGCGCCGCACGCTCATACGCTGCACCGCCCGCTCATACGCTGCACCGCCCGCTCATACGCTGCACCGCAGGCTCATACGCTGCACCGCACGCTCATACGCTGCACCGCCCGCTCATACGCTGCACCGCCCGCTCATACGCTGCACCGTCCGCTCATACGCTGCACCGCAGGCTCATACGCTGCACCGCCCGCTCATACGCTGCACCTCCCGCTCATACGCTGCACCGCCCGCTCATACGCTGCACCGCCCGCTCATACGCTGCACCGCCCGCTCATACGCTGCACCACCCGCACATACGCTGCACCGCACGCACGCTCATACACTGCACCGCCCGCTCATACGCTGTACCGCACGCTCATACGCTGCACCGCCCGCTCATACGCTGCACCACCCGCTCATACGCTGCACCGCCCGCTCATACGCTGCACCGCCCGCTCATACGCTGCACCGCCCGCTCATACGCTGCACCGCACGCTCATACGCTGCACCGCCCGCTCATACGCTGCACCGCACGCTCATACGCTGCACCGCACGCTCATACGCTGCACCTCCCGCTCATACGCTGCACCGCCCGCTCATACGCTGCACCGCCCGCTCATACGCTGCACCGCCCGCTCATACGCTGCACCTCCCGCTCATACGCTGCACCGCCCGCTCATACGCTGCACCGCCCGCTCATACGCTGCACCGCCCGCTCATCCGCTGCACCGCCCGCTCATACGCTGCACCGCCCGCTCATACGCTGCACCGCACGCTCATATGCTGCACCGCACGCTCATACGCTGCACCGCAAGCTCATACTCTGCACCGCCCGCTCATACGCTGCACCGCACGCTCATACGATGCACCGCCCGCTCATACTCTGCACCGCCCGCTCATACGCTGCACCGCACGCTCATACGCTGCGCCGCACGCTCATACGCTGCGCCGCACGCTCATACACTGCACCGCACGCTCATACGCTGCACCGCACGCTCATACGCTGCACCGCCCGCTCATACGCTGCACCGCACGCTCATACGATGCACCGCCCGCTCATACGCTGCACCGCCCGTTCATACGCTGCACCGCACGCTCATACGCTGCACTCAAGCTCATACGCTGCACCGCACGCTCATACGCTGCACCGCCCGCTCATGCGCTGCACTGCACACTCATACGCTGCACCGCACGCTCATACGCTGCACCGCTCGCTCATACGCTGCACTGCACGCTCATACGCTGCACTGCCCGCTCATACGCTACACCGCCCGCTCATACGCTGCACCGCCCGCTCATACGCTGCACCGCACGCTCATACGCTGCACCGCACGCTCATACGCTGTGCCGCACGCTCATACGCTGCACCGCTCGCTCATACGCTGCACTGCACGCTCATACGCTGCACTGCCCGCTCATACGCTACACCGCCCGCTCATACGCTGCACTGCCCGCTCATACGCTGCACCGCACGCTCATACGCTGCACTGCACACTCATACGCTACACCGCCCGCTCATACGCTGCACCGCCCGCTCATACGCTGCACCGCACGCTCATACGCTGCACCGCACGCTCATACGCTGTGCCGCACGCTCATACGCTGCACCGCTCGCTCATACGCTGCACTGCACGCTCATACGCTGCACTGCCCGCTCATACGCTACACCGCCCGCTCATACGCTGCACCGCACGCTCATACGCTGCACCGCTCGCTCATACGCTGCACTGCACGCTCATACGCTGCACTGCCCGCTCATACGCTACACCGCCCGCTCATACGCTGCACCGCACGCTCATACGCTGCACCGCCCGCTCATACGCTGCACCGCACGCCCATACGCTGCACCGCACGCTCATACGCTGCACCGCACGCTCGTAAGTCAATTCGTAAGTGCAGGAGCGGAGGTGGTAATGTAATCGAAGACCTCTAGGGCCTCAGAGGGACGCACGAGTCAAATCGTAAGTGTAGCAGCGGTGGTGGTGGGTGTGGATGGTGGGTGGAGATGCGTTACCATTGGTGGCGATGTAGTCAAAGGCCTCTAGGGCCTCAGAGGGCGAGCGGTAGATGTTGGGCGAGAGCAGATGCACCAGGTGCCCGTCCACCCACCTGCCATGGAGGAGACAGGGAGAGAGAGACGGAGTAGAGAGAGGGTGAGAGACGTAAAGGACCTTCGAGGCACCTCAAAGAGCGGTGGATGTTGGGCGAGAGCAGATGCACCAGGTGCCCGTCCACCCACCTGCCATGGAGGAGACAGGGAGAGAGAGACGGAGTAGAGAGAGGGTGAGAGACGTAAAGGACCTTCGAGGCACCTCAAAGAGCGGTAGATGTTGGGCGAGAGCAGATGCACCAGGTGCCCGTCCACCCACCTGCCATGGAGGAGAGAGGGATTAGAGAAAGGGAGACGCACATGGAATGACCGTTATCCCACAGGGGAGCAAGGTGGGAGGGATGACCCATGGGGCGCACTCTATCCACTGGACACTCCTAATTCATCCTCCCTCCTTCCCATCGCTCCCCTTCTCTCCGTGCCCCTCAAACTCCACTCAAACACTTATCTAACGCAACATTCGCTTATACTCCTCTCGTCCCTTTCCCCACCACCCCTTTTCTGCCTTACTCCCTTCCCCTTTTCCCTCCATCCATCCCCTCTCCCCCACCCCTCCCCTCTACCCCACTCCCCCTTTCCCCCTTTCATCCACACCATACCTGCGCCATCGGGTCTCCTCATCAAGCTCCTCCTCCGCCTGCCCCTCCGCCACACCCCGCTCCCCCACCCCTCTTCGCCTCGTCCCAAATCCCCTACTCTTGCTCCCCCTTCCCCCTCTCCCTCCCCCACCCCATACCTGCGCCATCTGGTCTCCTCATCCAACTCTTCCTCCGCCTGCCCCTCCGCCACGCCCCGCTCCCCCACGTGCCCCACAACCTCCGCCACTCCGCTTCCCCCGCTGCTGCTAGTCCCCCCCGCGCTGCTGCCACTCCCGCCGCCGATGGCGCTGGCATACGCGCCAGGCGCGGAAGCCGCCGCGGCGGACGCGGCGGCGGAAACAGCAGCGGAGGCGGCAGGGATGTTGGTGGCCTTGGAGGGGTTCAGACGGCGGTGCAACTCCGATATGATGGCTGGCGCGCGGGGGGGGATGTAAGAGGGGGAGTGGGGGGGGGGGGGAGGGTGTAAGGGGAAGGGAGTAAGGGGAAGGGAAGCAGCACAGCAGGGGCGGCGGGGGGAATGTTGGTGGCCTTGGAGGGGTACAGATGGCGGTGCAACTCGGATATGATGGCTGGCGCGCGGTGGGGGGAGAGAGGGCGGGGGGTATGGGGGAAAAGGGAGGGGGGAAGGGGGAGGGGAGAGGAGGGAAAGGTAAGGGAAAAAAGGGGAGGGAGAAGGGGGGAGGGGGCGAGTTTCAAGGAAAAGCAATTAAGGGAGGGTGCAGAGTTGTATTGCGGCCAGTTGGCGCATAGGGGGCAGCAGGGCGAGGGGGGATTTAAAACACGAGCATCAGAGAGTGGGTGCGGAGCGATTGGCAGGGGATGCGGAGGTGGGGGAATGGTGAGAGGCAGCCTGACAGAGAAAGCGAAAGGAACAAGAACGGATAAGAAGGGGCAACAAGGGCCAAACAAGACCTGAGGAGTCGACGAGCGACTCGCCGTTGACGACGAGCACGGGGACCTTCTTGTAGGGCGACCACTTGAGCTCCTTCTTTCCCACCGGGTTCACCTCCACCACCCTGTACGGGATGTCGTAGTAGTCCAGGAAGGCTGCGGTGGAGTGGGGAGGGGGGGGTTGGTGGGGGAATGCAGCAAGGAGGAGAGAAGAAAAGCACGTGAGGGGTCGACGAGCGCGGTGACCTTCTTGCCCACGGGGTTCACCTCCACCACTCGGTACGGGATGTCGTAGTAGTCCAGAACAGCTGCGGAATCAAGCAGAGCACGCACGGGAAGGCGTGGCACGCAAGCGGTGTTTTCAATAGCACGGGGACCTGCTTGTTGGGCGAGCGCTTGAGCTCCTTCTTGCCCACCGGGTTCACCTCCACCACGCGGTACGGTATGTCATAGTACTCCAGGAAGGCTGCGGAAACAAGGAGCGCACTGAAATGGAACAGGCCGCGGTTGAGGATGATTTTTTTTGCACGTTCCAGCAAAACAGGTGTTTCAGCGAAGGATGCCAGTCACAATGTACCTTTGACCTTATTGCAGAAAGGGCACGCCTCGTACTGGTAAAGAACCACCTCCGCGTCGCGACCCAGATCCACCTCGGGCCGCTCCTTCGCCGCCACCGTTGCCGTGCCGGAAAACGCGGCGACCAATGAGAACGAGGCGCCAGCGGCCAGCAGCCAAGATCGAGCGGACGTTGACGACAAAGAAGGCGACGTAAGCGACGATGCGGAAGACGTCATCACGGATGGAACGGCGATCACGGATCGGGGAGTCATCGAAAGTGCGTGACTCGCAAGTGTACCAGTGAATGAAATGACGTTAGTAACGGATCTCGCACTAACGGGTTGGACGGTGACGGATCTGGCACTGACGGTTCCGAGAGGCGGAATGACGGGGACGTATGACGCATGGGTGGATGGCGGATCGCGAGGTGCATGTGGGGGAGGTAGATCTGAACACGTGCTGGCTGCTGGCGAAGCGGCGTGAGAAGATGCGAGATGCGAGATCGTGGGATGGGCGGTAACACAACGTTGGGCTTGATCGGACGGTCTAGCAGAGGCTAGAAGCAGTCTGAGCCTTCCCAGGCTGGAAACTGAACCTCTCGCCATGGCGTTGGGGGAAAACAGCCCAGAAAAATCCTTGTCCCCGCAAGCTACGGTGCGAGGTGCACGCTGCTAACGATCACGTCAGAGCACAGTCGAACGCCACAGAAGCGACCAAAATGGCAGCTTCAAGCAGCGGGGGACTCCTAGGAGGCTGTAATATGACTCGGATCGCATTGGCGTTCTGTACTTGGAGAATCTGTGGAGAATGAAACTGAGGACCAGGCGTCATCGGTTGGGTGCGGTGTGGTGCGGGAAGAATTCTCTTGCAACAGATAGAATTCGCGCTATTAAAATACCCGACATTGTGATCCTTAAGTGAGAAATTGTACAGTCTCTGCAAAAACCAGGGAGAAATAATGTTTTAGAATTTTGGTTTTACAAAAACAGCTTTGAAGACCTTCACCAGCACTGGTTGCTTCGTTCCTCCACGTGGTGATCTCGTAACCCATCCACGAGGGTACACCACGTCATCTCGTAAATCACACCACTTCCAGCTGTCCACGTGCAACCCCCCTGCCAGAAATTTCCCCCGCACCACCGGACTACTGATTCCCGCCACACTCCCCCAACCCAGAAATTCCCCCTCCCCCACTTCTGCCCCTTCCCCGCACGCTGGAACATTCTCCCACTCCACTCCCACACACGCTCGAGAATCCACACACCACCATTTTCCAACCTTCAGGGACGATACAGAAGGCTTCAACGGACTCAGTCGGCAGGGCTTACGCATTGGGCCAGCACAGGCCATATAGCTCGTTTATTTTAGAGACCATTGTTAGTTTCGAATTAATGTCTGGTGCTGCTCGTGCGCTTCTGGTCCGATTCCGCCCGTCTTTCGCGCTCTTAGCTCCACGGACGGTTCCTCTACCGAGGGATTTGCCATTGGCATCAGTGGCTGTCTCTCCGTACCTTTCTGCGTCGCGCGCTTCCCCGTACTCCGCTCTCCGCACGCTGACGTCAGCAGTCATGTCAGGCGCTCTTTCCACGGCCGCTGGCACTTCCGCGGCTGCTGTTGCGCCTTCCGCAGTTCCGCGCGCGCATTCCGTCGCGCGCGGGTCGTCCGCAAAGGGGGTCATTCAGATCCCGACCACCGCTCCTCGTGGCTTGCGCGGGGAGCCATGGCGCGGATTGCGTAGGCTGACTGGCGGAACCGTTGCGCCGTCAGCAGTTCTTGCGCGGAAGCTGGCCGCAAATTCTGCAAGAATTCCGCCCGTGTCGTGCTCCGCTGCGCCGTCCGGATCCGTCGCCACGGCTCCCGCCAACCAGCAAGGTCCGCCATTGTTGTGACTAGCCACTTCGCCTGGCCTCGATCTGCCGTCTTCCAGATCGCCGGCTTCTAGATTACGTTTATTAGCTCGACCGCTTATAAAGTCCTTCGCGGTTTCCACCCACCACCGCATCGATCGCCCTCGCCTTGCGCTCTCCATGCGCAAGTCTCCGCTGGTTGCGAGACTTATTGTTTGCTTGGTTTCCGCCCTGAAATTAGCACGGAAGGAGACGGATTCAAGGCTTACTGAAATGCTAGTCCCGCCTTTTCAATCCACAGTGACGCACCCTGCATCATTCTAACGGCCGCTTTTATTGCGCTCGGCAACACCCGACCGCACCCCATCACATCCCACCCCCTGACTCTCCCTTTTTCTCCCAATATCCTTCCTCCCCTTCCCCCCCCACCGCAGCGGCGAGCCCGGAGGTGGTGGCGCGGCTGGGGTTCGAGGAGGAGCGGCGGGAGCACGTTGCGGAGTACAACGCGGAGGCGACGGTGTACCGCCACGCGCGCACGGGCGCGCAGATCATGTCGCTGTGCTGCGCGGACGAGAACAAGGTCTTCGGCATCACCTTCCGCACGCCCCCGTGAGTCCGCGCAGTCATTTGTCTTAGCTCGCCAGGTGTCCACTCAGAACGACGAAGAGAGCGGGCAAAGAGAAGTGGAACGAACGAAGCCAGCAGTGCAAGAGGCGGTTCCGCCAAGGCATCAGTCGCAGCGCGTGGAGCTATGCCCGTCACACGAAATCAGGCAATGGTTGGTAGCCTAAGAAATCGTCTTATTTCGAATGACATTAGCTACAGTGCGTCAATCAGTGCCACCCTGATGTTGCGAGCCCAACTTGTGTGTGGACGCGTCGCTCAAAGACGGCCTTATTTCCCCTATTCATCATCTTTGCCTTGTTTGCTCATGTGTCCTCCACTCCCACCTCCCGCTTTCTCCTCTTCCTCCCCCGTTTCTCCTTCCGCCGCACCGTTCCCTCCCCCGTATTCTCCCCCGTGCCCCCCGCCTTGCGCGCTACAGCAAGGACAGCATGGGCATTCCGCACATTCTCGAGCACTCCGTGCTGTGCGGCTCGCGCAAGTACCCCGTTAAGGAGCCCTTCGTCGAACTCGCTAAGGGCTCGCTCAACACCTTCCTTAACGCGTTCACCTACCCCGACCGCACGTGCTACCCCGTAGCTTCCACGAACCTGCAGGTACGGCGTCTTGCAGCGTCTTTGACTGGTCGGCGCGCTCGCGCGTCGGTTCTCGTAATGCAAGAGATCCGCACGCTGAAACACTTGACAAGAGAGACATGGATCCGAAGCCACTGCACCGAATTGCACCCCTCTGTATCGCTTTCCCTTAAGCACCCTCCTCACACTTCAATCCACGGCCTTCAGCCATTCTCCATCCTTCATTGCACTATTCCGATTCGATATTGCGCGACCCGTTAGGACTTGCACAATCTAGTGGACTGGTACACGGATGCTGTAATTTGAGAGGCTTAAACAATTACCTCGTTATTGTGCAATCCGTTACAGGACTTTTACAACCTGGTGGACGTGTACCTGGACGCGGTGTTCTTCCCCAACTGCGTGCGCGACGAGAAGACGTTCCAGCAGGAGGGGTGGCACTACGAGCTCGATGATCCCAAGGAGGACATCACCTTCAAAGGTACACCGATGATCCCAAGGGCGACATTTACACTCAAATGTATTTGAGAGTCGTCTCAAAGCGGGAGGGGTGGCACTACGAGCTCGATGATCCCAAGGACGACATCACCTTCAAAGGTACGCCGATGGATCATGGTCCCAAGTAAGGAGCACGTCACCTCAGCGTGTAGATGGTATTTGAGAGTCGTTTCAAAGCAGGAGGGGTGGCCCTCGGAGCTCGATGATCCCAAGGACGATATCACCTTCAAAGGTACGCCGATGATCCCAAGGAGGGAGCACGTCACCTCAGAATCCAGAAGGTGTTTGACACGTCTTAGAGCAGGAGAGATGGCACTTCGAGCTCAATGATCCCAAGGACGATATCACCTTCAAAGGTTGATCAACGGCTACGATTAAGCTTCAAGATGCGGTGTGGACGGCTCAGATCTTAGTGGAAGTGTGAAATTGGACGGATGAGATTTGTGGGAGTCAGGGTGCACCAGGTGCGCTCCCATGGGTATCTTAAAAAAAATCTAACTCACTTTGAATTCACTATGGAAATTATCAATCTTTGTGTCACTCAAGTGCGCGTGTTTCTTCCTCGTGCCTTCCCCATCCCTCCCGTCCTGGGATTTTGCACCCATTCCTGCACGCCCCCATGCCGCCATGGCGTCACTCTTGGATGGCTGCAGGCGTGGTGTTCAACGAGATGAAGGGTGTGTACTCGCAGCCCGACTCCGTCTTCATGCGCGCCGTGCAGCAGGTGAGCAGTGAGGGAGGGAGGAGTTGCGGGAGGGGAAACAGGGGGGAGGGTGGGGAGGAGAAAGTGATGGAAGCCGAGCAGTTAAGGGCGTGTACTCTCAGCCCGACTCCGTCTTTATGTGCGCCGTGCAGCAGGTGAGGGGTGAGCGGTGAGGGGAGGAGGGGGGTGGAGGGGGGAAAGCGGGATGCGCGCCGTGCAGTGAAGGGCGTGTACTCGCAGCCTGACTTCATATTCATGCGTGCCGTGCAGCAGGTGCGGGGGGAAGAGGGGAAAGGGGGAGGGAAACGCGCGTAGTATAGCAGGCGAGGAAGGAAGTTGGGGGGATAGGTTGAGATGGGTGCAGAGGGTGGGAAAGGGGGGGGAGATAACATTCGTAGTGCCCTAGGTAAAGGGGGAAAGGGTTATGGACTATGGAAGCACTCGTGGTGGAACGCACATATGACGCTTCATAAGCTGAAAGAAGTATTGCGATGGAAGTTACTTGTGACGGATGGGGGAGTCCGCAGTGACGTTTGCACGCTTCTGCTCCCTTGCAGTTTCATCCCATCCCACCATTGGGCCACTCTCACCCCTTACTTTTCCACCCCACTCTCCCCTCCTCTTCCCCCTCCCTTGCCACACAGGCGCTGTTCCCCGACAACGAGTACGCGGTGGACAGTGGTGGAGATCCCAAGGTCATCCCGCAGCTCTCCTTCCAGGAGTTCCAGGACTTCCACGCGCAGTTCTACCACCCCTCCAATGCGCGCATCTGGTTCTACGGGGATGACGACCCCAACAAGCGCCTCGCCATGATTGCTGGTGAGGGAGGGGTGCTATGATGGATGGTGTAAGGACTGCTTCAAAGGGGTGGTGGTGCCATGTTGCTGGTGAGGGTAGGTGTGAGGGTTGCTATCAAGGGGTGGTGCTGCAGTGTCACAGCGCGCAGTTCTACCACCCCTCCAATGCGCGCATCTGGTTCTACGGGGATGACGACCCCAACAAGCGCCTTGCCATGATTGCCGGTG